CAGAGATAACAAAGTGGCCATTTTCTATTATTTTTATTATTATTACTATTATTTGGGGCAGCAGCCCTGGCTTGTTTTCAGCAGAGAGCTGAAACAAAAGCCAGGGTTAAACCACACACTGTACCTGACCGCTCCTCAAAACTGAAACATAAGGTGTTTGTGTGTGTTTTAGTTTTGCTCTTCAGGCCCACGTCACGTCCTGACAGTCAGGTACAGTCTGCACATGCACTGCACCTGTGTTTTTTGCATTTCAGAACCCTGAATTTGAGCATGTCCCAAACCAGCAGACTTGACAGGGCCGGTTTAATGATTTTGTTCATGCTTTTCTGGCACACATGAAATATTGTTTGTGTTTTCCCACCACTTCATCTCTATTTTTGCTATTCCATTTGTTATTCTTTTCAAATTTGCTTTTGTGAATTTCTTTGGACATATTTGACAAAGCAGGCCATTCAGTTTAACACACAGAGGCATGGATAAAAGGAAATTTCAGTACAAAAGGTGAGGTGATTTATGTTGTCCTATCCAAGCCCAAGTGCTGGGCCTTCATCTTGGCAACATGTGTCAGCCCACATTAGGTGGACCAATGAACAATGGCCTCAGCCAGGAGCAGGTGGTGGTTACTTTCAACTCTGAGAGGAGGATGTGCATTTATGGCCGTGTGTGTGTGTGTGTGTGTATGTGACAGAATGAGAGAGACAGAGACTGGTCTATCTGCCATCTGGAGCAGTGAGACAATCCCAGCTGAGGCGGAAACTTGAATGTGCTGTTTCCATCAGTTCACTGACTGGCCTCTCTCCTGGATCCAAACACTTTTTAGAGATGACCCCCCTGGTTCCTGGCTATGCCTCTGGTGATGGCACACACCAATTTTGAGAGTGTGAAATGAGCCATTACAAGGTGAGCTGCACCAGGCGGCATTACCTCTTAAAGTAGACTCACCCCAAATAAGATCTGCGGCCCAAGGAAAGTCAAGTTCTTTAGAAACTGTCCGCCACAAACTCATTAATGTATTTAAAAAAACATTTTCAGGTAAACAAGAAGCAACTTTTGGCACACGCATGCACAACCGAGTGAATACGTAAAGGGCAAAGACTGAACACAAAATGTCAGCTTTTATGGGAAGACACTGGGGGTTGATCAATAATCGAGATTCAGAGTAGACAGGTTTAAACTTTACAATGGCTGTCTTTGAATCCTCCTTTTTTTAAGTTCACTCACTCACCCTCTACATAGTGCTCAACATGCAGCAATTCAGTGGGTGATGGAGGCAGCCAGCTGCTGAGACATATTGTACAGGCAGAAGTGATGGACAGCTCAAGTTTGATTTTAAGGGGTTGAAATCATGTTAAAATTGAGCAGTTTTTCCCTATTGAGTAAAAAATGGATACACAAATCTCTGTTTTGGCTTTATCTTTGTCATTGAAATATATTAATCCATCAAAGCACTGATTGTAGCTTTAATTCAGTTGATATGTCACAAAACTTAAGCAGGAACTTATAAAAACCACTAGAAATAACTAACATGTCAGAGCAAAACAATTGTGAGCATGCAAGTGTTTTCTTGGAACCATAGTGGCCCCACAGTTGAGATTAGTGGGCAAATGCTTCAGTAGCTATTGAAATACCCCAAACATTTGTTTCAGACTGACTGTTAACCGATTAAGCCAAAAATCAGATTTTTGGTACCACAAATGTATAACATCCTGCATCTCAAACCTGCTTTTTCCGGCTCAGTGAGGAGAATCATTTGCTCTCACGGGATTGTCAATGGTCAAATCTCAGTGATGAGATATGAACAGTATGGGTAGCTAACAGAAGCTTAAGTAGCTGGTGATATCCAGCAGAAGTAAGTTTCCTCAGCTCCAGAATGGTTGGCACCATTCCACAATCTACAAGGACCCATGTCAACCGACTGACACACTGCATAGTATAAAAGTAGACAGTTTTAAAAAAAGAAATAGATTAGTACATTTTATTAATTAGTACATTTTGTATTTCAAATACATCTTCACAAAATGTTCAAATGATAAACTGTGTTTTCTTGTGGTACCTTGCAATGAGCCTTGCCTGCTACAACAGGCAACATCAGAAAAAATACATAAAGTTAATTATATAAATAATGCATAGGTAGAATTTAGAAGCCTTCATTTAATCACGATATAGAAGCGGCGTGAAAGAGAGGCCTTGAGCCTTTATCACAGAAACATGTCATCAGAGATTAGACATACCTTAATGCACTATGTGATTGCAAAATTATTACATAGAAGGTTTGATCCAGAACCAAGGTTGTTTTTCAATAACACCAGACGCACATAAAACAAACAGCACCTTATTAATTCTTACTGTTGCATAACGCCTCTGATTGCAGAACTTCTTATGCCTCCTCTGAGATTAGTTTTATGATGCTTGACATTCATTTATATGTGCATTTAAATCATCATTCAACAACTTTCAGTTCTCTCTTCCATTAGATTATTTTGTGGTACCACAAGCAAGTCCTGCCATACACTTTATAGCAGGTTCTGTTTTTTCAGTATATACAAAATTTAAGAAAGGATGATATATAGAGAGCTAACTGTCAGATTTATTTAGAGAGTGAAACCTATTTCAATGTATTGTTTATGGTTTAAGGCTTTAAATCGAGTTTGATTTTTGCACAAAGTAATAATTTTCTCAAGCTATGGACATCTTACCGTGAGATAGGCCTTTGTTCTTTTCCGTGACATATATTCTTAACTGTTTAGAAATAGGTATTTCCAAGATTTCTCCCTCTTTTAGGCTTAACAGTTAGGTTGGGTTTATTTCTGCCAGTCTGACTTCAACTGATACACACCACTTTGTAAGGCTCTTCTTCAGCATTTACAAGGATGTCTTTTCATGCTTCAGACTGACCCACACCAACATTTCTACATAAATATCTCATTAATACTCTTTCGTTTTAAGTTGAAAGCCTGAACGAGTAGATTAATTCAATTTACTGTTTCCTTCCTCATTTCCTTTAGCAAAGGCTACACTGGACCATGGTTTTTGAAAAGGGAGATGATATGGCCATCCCGCAGTTCACCATGACAGCAAACATCAGAATATTCCATTTAAATCTAAAATCTATAATTATCCTCTTAAATTTTACCAACCATTTACATGCAATAATCTGATTTCACTTTAGTATCAGGTAACTAATATTTCTTTTTATGGTTCACCTTGCCAGTGAAGTAATGTTGGTGCTTATATAAACAGCCATAAATGATATAGTCTGAGAAATTTGTGGTGAGTCGATAAAACAGTGTGGTTTCTTGGCACACTTACACTGGCAGTATATGTTATCAGCAAATAAGCAAGAGCCGTTTGTTCATGTTTACTGCGAATGGGATGTTTTTGTGTGCCCTCTTTCCCACATTTCATCATGTTTTCTTTTATAAGAAAGGGAAGGGCTCCATAAGAGACACACAACATTAATCTCCCATCTTCTCCTGTTTTCTGGTCTCTTGAATCTGTTTTGTACACCTCCCTTTCTTTGTGTTCCAACCGATTTTGTGCATCATCTGAGCTCAATTATCCATTTATTCATGGTACCTTTTACAAATCAAGTCTTTATTTTTTCTGTTGTTTGTTCCTTGGGAATTATTGCCAGTGTTTTCCAACTTTGATTTTTGTTTAACCTGTAGAAATTTTGAAGCATCATGTTTTGTGTGTGTGTGTGTGTGTGTGAGCGTGTTTAAATTTTATATTTTGAACGACCCACAAATATTTTCACTTCATATCTCCTTGCCGTTTCTCTCACTGACTAAATGCCTGTGTATTAACATTTAGATTATGTTCTCCAGATGTTATGGGTGATGTCTATATATAAGTTCTTTTGAGAAGCCTTGACTATCCCAGTGTATTGAATCATTATACCGTCTGGACACTTTGTGGTAAAAGGGCATCAACATCTCAAGGCTATTTTGTTCTCCTTTTAGGTTAATGTATTGAATTGTAAAACTTAACTAATAATACATTGGTGCCTCAAGTGTTATTAGAGAAGACAGCACTGTGAAATTAACCACTACAGATGTTGTTGTTGTTGCATTTATACAATATCATTTAGTGGGAAAAACAGACTGTATTCATATTGTGCCTTTCAAGTCTTGTTGAGCACTCAAAGCCCTACAAGCCACATTATGACGAACACACACTCGTACAGCACTTAGCGGTACAGGCTGCGCAGTGCTTTTTTATTTCACACACATTCACACACCAAGTAGATGCATTGGAAGAAATGTGGTGTTCGAAATCTAACCTCAGAGCACGCTGTTATGTGGTGGGCAGGGAATGGAACCAATAACCTTTCTTACTGGCATGCTGATGCCAATGCCAATGCCAGTTTAAAGCCTCCAGGAGATTTAAATACATTTATCCGTGTTAGTTAAACTGTTAGACAAAAAGAAAACAAGACAAAACGATTAGGAATTGATTTTGCTCCGTATTTATACGTCCAGGTGGTTACCCAAAGTAACCAGTGTGCTCTGTTGGTGTTTCACAATGTACATAACTGCCATACTGTGTAGCAGTTTACCAATAGCTAAATGTATATATCTCAGCTGTTTTGGCCTTTAACCTAACAGGTTATCCAGAAAAGGCCTGATACCAGTCATGTAAAAAAGGACCATGTCATCACCTATCGTACAAAGGTCAATAACTAAAGGCATTGTTCTCTCTTTCTCTCTATATATGTCCACATTTAAGTTAACTGGGTTTTGTCAGTAATTACTGGTTTCCTCTTTAAATGGAAGGCTTCATGCTTCATTACACAGTCCTCATTTTACTCATAAGAAAACCCAGCATGATGTTGATACTTTGTAAACTCGCTTCACTCTTCCTAATCATCTATATATTGATCAGAGGTCTTCATCCTCACTCTGTTATCTGGGATTTTTTTTTTTAACCATTACCAGTAACCGGCCCTACGTGTGAATAATGCATTTGACTGTTATTTTTTGCAGAGCCTCGCTGTTGACCCGGACTTTGCTTGGTCTGAGCTGTGATTGGTTCATCCTCCGTGTCAGTCAGAGCCGTGTGGGCGGGATTCAAACAATCCACTCGTGCTCCCTGCGCCGTGGACCGTGCGCCGCTGCGGAGCAGGAGCTGTGCAGACACTAGTACAGGATCAGCAACGTGCGTTCTGTCACCAGAGCAAGACTGGTCTCAGTCTCTAAGGTTTTTTTTTTTTTCATTCAGAGTTCCTTAAAAAACTGTTTTTACCTCACCGGTGGTGCATTTCTGACAACATCCAGATCTCTGTTTTTTATTGAGAGGGCTATTATATTACCGCTTTCCAAAGCAGAGCAGCCTACGGGTCGTGCAGTCGGCTGCGTTCACCCCCCCCTGTTTCCTAGAGACGCACAAAAGCCACACTCCCAGGTCCGCCTGGACACTGAACAAAGAGGTCCGGTCCGGTTAGAAGTCCACTGGGGGAGACGGAGTGGAGAAATTGGCGCGGCAGACAGGAGAAAAGACAGAAGAGGGGCAGGATGAATATCAAGAGTAATTTGATTTTCACACTCTACACTATTTATGGGATTCTTCTGAAAGGTGAGTCCGAGTGGAGGGAGGGTGCGTACGTGTGCATGCAGTGTGGCGTTACATGTGTGTTTGTGTGCTTGTACCTGGACCAGTGAAGGGCAAAAGATAGTCGGCAAAACGCGCATTCGTACTGGAGTCCTGGCAGAGAGATGGGACTTCTCTTCATCTTGTATTGTCTTCTCTCTCAGTGTCATCCAAACGCGCGAGCTCGTACACATGGCTTTACACGTCTGAGCCTTTGCAACGCGTGCTGAGTGCGTGCGCGTTTGTCCGCAGGCGTGCGTGATGTCACGTTCAGGACGGTGATATTTAACTTTCAGAACTGAATGCACAAGACACGACCTGTGTGTCATGCGTGCGCACGGCGGTGAAGACAGACACACCTCACAGCACAATCTCCAAGTCTGCGCTCGGGCTATCACGTGCTGTGTTTGGATGAGCCCCGGAGTCACGAGTTTTACGTTTTACGCACCGAGCCTGTCAGGTCCAGGCTGGTGTACTTTTTTAGGTCTTCCCCTTCTGTTTTTGAACTCAGGCTTCGTTAGATTGTTTTCTTGGAGCTGTCGCAGCAGCCTGACTGGGGCTGGTGCGCGCACAACTCAGACCAGGAACCTCATTCGTAGGTCAAGGAGACGGTCCAACATTAAATCTTCAGTAGTTTACTCTCCTGTCTTAATTGCATAAGTGCGTAAAACTCTGTGAGAGAGTGGCAAAGCGATAACTGTCTGCGTTTTTCTATTGATTTATGTGCGTCACAGGACGGATTAGATCAGAAACGATTTGGTTTAAAGGTTGAGTGACAGTCTGAATTTACTGTGGGGGCACTTCCAACGACTGGTGACCTGATGGTGAGCGCGAGGAGGCGTTGATGTTAGGGGACAAGGTCACAACGGCTGCGTAATTAACCTACAAACTGAAAAATGGCTGTCTCAGTGTGGTGAAATACAGCTGGAATAGACAAACACGTCCACCGAAACTGGACAGTGAAACGAATTTGCTGAAAGATGATCTCATGTCTCAATGCATGTCACTGATTCATGTCAATATTTTTTTGTTGAAAATAGTTTATGCTACATTTGGATTTCTGAGGTGTGATTATGATTATGATTAAATGGACCAACTGAGCAAACTTTATATAGAAATTGCATTCCTTTATTTTCACAATTAAGAACTACTCTTTTATGTACTGGGTGACCCTTAAGTCTTGGGATAATCAAATGAGTATTTTGATAATCCCATTAACAGTGTGTAGGATGTTAAAGAGGGAACACAGCTTCCTGAGTTCCGGCAATGGTACATTCATGCTGTGCAGAACCACGGCTGGAGGGTTATGAATTTTTTTTCCCTGTTATTTTTTTCTGATACAACTGCCAGTTTAACAGCAGGGCCACTTTAACAGCAGTTGCCAAGCTTTAGTCCACTTTACCCCCTCAAATGATATCAAGATGTTCAGTGTTTAAGGCAATAGATAACAAATTTATTAACATGAAAGGCAAAATTAGCATCATCTTGACTTTAACCACTGTTTTCCAGACAAGCAAAGGAGAAACCCCGGATAGGAGATCGTTTGTGCTTGATTCGCTTGATCAATTGTTGTTGTCTCTTTGAAGTGTACGCCTGTGTGTTTGTGCGCGTGCATATTAGGAAGAGAGCAGCCCCTTCATAATAACCAGACATAATTAAAGCTATTCTTGACTTAATGAATTGGTGTGTAATGAGGTATCTCCGTGTGCATGTGCTGATTTATCAGAGCCTCTCTTTTCCTCTTTATTCTCTTAACGGCGACATGCTTGTTATGAATGTGCGTGAGTGTGCGCGTGTGTGTGTGTTTTTGTGTACATTCTAGCAAATTTGTGCTCTGTTTGTATTGCTAATGTTTTAAGAGGCCTAAGCAAATACATAAGCACGCTGATAACAGCACACACACAATCATACCGGTCGCTTTCCCTCTCGTCCTGACCCTGAAGAGGATAATACCAGGCTGTCTGATTTGAACAGTCATCTCTGGGAGCAAAACCTATTATTGCATAGACTCCACACAGCAGGCAGGTCAGCCTCCTTCTGAATGAGGTCCATTGAGGCAAAGATGTGGCCTATCCTTGCGTTCTGTAAATGACAGCTGTTTCAGCCCTTCTGGCCTCGAGCCAGCTGGCATCAAGACATCCACAGACACTAAATCTCTGTCACAGACTAGACCTGCACCGCGTTTAGTACGAGTGCAAGGTGTTGTGATGGAGGTTGGTGTTTACCAACAGCCCGAGTTGTTAACATATTATCCAGCCCGTCTCATGTGGCCACGCCGTAGCCAGAGAAAAAAAACAGGCTGTTATGCAAATGGAGCTCTTACGTAAGAGCTCCGGGCTGAGCAGCAGGCGAGGGGAGACGGAGACGGAGAGAGGCAGAGAAAGAGGGAGATGTTCTCCAATAGAGGAGTCGATGGAAGGCTAATGTGGGTGCAGAGGTGTGGAGGAGGATTGTAGCATACAATCCACTCCACCAAAGTATTTGTGTGAGCTAAGTGTTGTTGGTAGTTTGTTGCTTGGATGCTTGTTTATCGCCACTGCTCTGTCTGTTTCCTGTCGTTTTGCCTGCCTGGCAGTCTGTCTGTTCTGAACTCTGATCTCAGCAGCCTAAATACAAACTCCCACTGAGGGATGTGTTTATCCCCACAGTGAGACTAAGCTGCTGAGGGATGACCCTCCATCCCTCTGTCCATTCCTCCCTCGCTTCATCCTTCCATCCTGGTGTGGAGCTTTGTATCACAGCAGCGTGGGAAAGCTTCTGATAACAAGCAGCCTTGTGTGTGTGTGTGTGTGTGTTTGCATATCCACTGATTACATGGGAGAAACGAGATGTTCTCTCTTTCTTGCTTACTTGCACTTTCCCTCCCTCATCTGTATGTGTATGTGTCTGCAAGTCCCTTCATTTTTGCACTGCATTTGCAAAGAGCTCTTTTCCTTATACCCATGCCATGGGGGGTTTAGGTACTGGTAATCGTGGCACTGAGCAGCTCGGGATTGATGTGCATTAATTACACAGGCATTCAGAAACACATACATACACACATGGAACTCCAGTGTGGGTTCATCTCTGTACTGCCAAGGGATTTCCCATGATCAAAGTCCGTCTTTTGTTTGTCCAGGTTGTTAAAACAGGAAGGGTTCCACTAAAAGGGAATGTGGTTGGCGCGAAAGCTTGCAAGCTCTTCATGGCAGAAAAGGAATGTGCCTCACCTGAACTAGTCCACAGACAATTGCAGCAAACCTTTCCCGCCTACTACCTGCAACAGTGTGCTTGTACATTTTGTTTGTTTTTTCTTCAGTATACACAGTCAAATGCAGATACGCTAAGGCTTCATAAGGTTCGACATAAGGTTAATAAAAAAGGTGTCGAGGAGGCAGGAGGCTGAGCATTGTTTAGCCTAATACACATGTTTTTGCAGATGACAAAGATTCAGAGGTGGCAAAAACACTTGTAACACATTTTCCTATGTGAGGAGAATGTTAGCTTGGAACTCTTTAACCAAAATGTCCATTGGAAATATCAAAGTCATCTATTTTTCTGTAAAGTAGGACGTGCTTACACTTGATGCAGTAAGAACTTGAGCCCATCCTCTTATGACGTAATGTATGGTGTAGACATGTAAAACATGTATTTATTTTTCCTTTATAAAAATAATTAGCATATTGTTTTTAGATAAAATGGAAACCTAAAAAAAAAGATCAGGTAAATCTGAAATCAGCCTTCAAATGGCTTTATGAGCACAGATGAAGACAGACAAAGCAAGATTCAACCTGCCTGTCTGACTATACTGCCGTACCTGCAGAGAACATGACCCGACAGAGTGCGAGCTGCTGAGGTTTTTATATACAACTTCAAGGTTTTAATCACGTTGTATTGTCTGCAAACATACACATGTACCACACCATCTGCAAAGAGGATATTCAATGAATGCCTCAGAACAAGTCTTTAACAATTGTAGTCTCCTAGAAGACAAAAAGATAAAAATGTACATTTCAAATGAATAAATTCCAATACATATACAATGATCGAATTAGGCATAAGGTCAAGAATACCTCTACCCAATTTCTACCCAAATAGCTTTATAAAGGAAAATCCACGTGCTGATGATGTTTTGAGCTAATGGCTTACAATATCTGAACATGTTAAGCACATTTCACTTAGCAGAGAATTCTTTTGGAATTAATGCATTATGCTTACTTTGTTAGGACTGTATATCCTGTCTTAAAGGGAAAGTGTTGTTTAAAATCAACTCACAGGAAGAGGGAAAGATCAAATAGCCCCCCATAGAGAGCAATGAGGATACAAGCAGCAACATCAGCAGACAGCAAGTTTTCCCCCTAAATGCACCTCCTGGTATTTGAAAGTGTGCAACCTCAGCTTACACATCAGCTGGTAATTGAACATTTTTTTCTTGTCGCTGTTTATGGTTTGAAGCAGGTGTATAAAATTGCATACATTTATCTACATCTTTGGGCTTGAGACAAATAAAGTTACACAGCTAACAGTTTGTAAAATGTCATTTTCAGAATTCTTCCTGGGAAAGGTAAGATTTGTGGGCACTCAGGGGTGTTTGAATTGGGGACGGGGACGGCAATGAATACCCACAGTTTGTGGTTTTCTAGGTGGTCCAATGATGATTTGTAGGTTTAGTGGGACCTGAAAACAAGATAA